TTATAATTGGATTAATAATAATAATAATATCCTTTCTATGTTATTTAATTACATATATTAAAATTTAATTTATTCATTTCGCTAAATTTATGTCTATTCAATCAAATAGTATTTCAATTATTGTTTTTTTTTATGACAAGTATTTCATGTCTCTTTCGCTTTCTCCCTACATGTGTGAGAAACTATTACTTGGATTTTATTGTGGAATTTAGTTTAATTTTACTTTCATTCTATGTTTTCATTTTAGATTTTGTAAATTTAATTTTCTTATGAAATGTTATTAAAAAAAATTATTACATGCATAACAGTTTAATAACACCTGCAACACAGGTGCATTCTACTTGTCTAGTTTTATATGACCCACTTTTATAAGTTATGAAATGTTTATCTCGCTTTTTAAAGCAGGTGTTTGCTATTGCTAGGTCGTAGGGCATAGCAAAATCCGGGATAGTCACACCTATCTCATTTCTTTCTCCAAAATCATATCCCCCATGTAACATGTCATATTATTAATAATATGAATCTGTCGTATTGTTAACAGATTCCAAAAAACAAAGGAGTCGAGCATTCAATTTCGGTGATAGGAGGGGTTAGAATTGGGAAAGATGTTTGGCACAACAAAGAAGCTATCAACGTAAGGTATTCAATGTTGTCTAATCTGGCTGCTGAACCAGAAGCAACAAGTGCCGAGAATGTCGTGGGAGGTAGACGGAACTTGGCTGCCAGAACTTCGATATGACCTAAAGAAGAAAGAAATTGGGTCTTTAACGTCAGTTTTGCAAGGGCTCGAAACCTTTTTCGTTAGGTAACAGCGAGAAGACTGCATTGTTTTGGAACCAGAGACGAATGCCATTTCTCAGTAAGGTCCTTCCACAAGATCAATAATCAAATTACTTTAGAAAATACAGTAGCATGAAGATTGTGGACAGTTGCTGCACCATCCAAACTCAAGACTTTGGGTGGCTTGCAGCGATTGACAGGGTGCAGACAATTGATAACTTGATGAAATGAGGTGTGTCTATGCCAAACAAAAGCATTATGTGCAAAAATGAGTCCACATAGAATCTCTTCATAAATTGAGCATTGTTACTTGGGGTAGGAGTGAAAAACATTTCTGGAATAGGTAGCAAAACCGAGGAGCGAGGAAACTGAAAAGTTCTGTGGTAGAGGGAACGAGTTCCGTACATGGTCAAATGTAGGGATCGATATCCCTGACTTCCAGAAAAAAAGTTCCATATCTGCAAAGGAGCATCTCCCTTACGGGATGGGACCGTGTTCCGCCATATTAGAATCGAGGTTCCCAAAGTTCAACTATCCATTGTATTGAAATCTAGGAGCATTCAATTCTTCCTTCTCTCTCCCTCTCTTGTTACCTTTCCTTGAAACTAGACACAAGTCACAATTCATAAGGTGTGTAAAGTTGTGAATTATAAAATATAATATATAGGAAATCATGACATTTAGAAAGTTTCTAAGTCAAAAAAATAAAAAAAATGGAGATCCACATTTCTTTGTCTAGGAACCAAAAGAAGTCCTTGAAACTCGCACCAAAGTATAGGATACTCGATCCCATGGACCAGACTCATAGTTTTGCTTAAAAAAAAATGGAGATCCACACTTCATTGTCTAAAAACCAAAAGAAGTCGTTGAAACTCACACCAAAGTATAAGATACTCGATCCCATGTAGCAGACTCATAGTTTTGCTTACTCATGAAACAATGATTTTTGGTATCGGGATCTGGGTCCCATTCAGTGTTTTAAAATGTGGGATGCAGTCGAAGGGCCGATGCAACGATTCAAATCAGTGTAGTCTAGATGCGGGTGCATCACCCCGATGTGGTCAATAAATATAACAAAATCTCAAAAATAGGTTAATGCATGGAAAAACATATGAAGGAGATTTATGTAATAGTAGGTATTTAATTTATTCATTAACTCCAATATTATCATTTATTGGAAACTCTGAATCTGCTGATAGAAGACATTAGAAATAGCAAATAAAAACTAGAAACTTGAAACTAACTTTATAGAAGACATTAGAACTTAGAAGACATCATATTATCAAAATCCATAATTTTTTTATTTTTTTAAGCTATCCATGTATTCTCTAATCTCCCTTTTAATCTCTTCAATAGCTTGTGGGTATGCTATGACATTCCCAATAATACCGGCCAAGTGTTCTTTTTGCAGAAAATATCCATTGTATAAGAATTTCCACAAAGAGTACAAATAACACAATTTTGATCGTTTGGATTTTTGTGTTTTGCATATTTGCAAGCCAGATCCTTGTAACTTGAAGTTTGTGAAGAATAAATTACCCAAACAACAGTTTTACGATTTAGGAAATAAAAACTTAGCTATCGATCAAATTTTTTTTCGATGTTTTCCTGGCCCTTGAAACCCTCAATATGTTGACAAACTATGCTCAAACTTCTTTCAAACATTGCCCAATCTAATCTTAATCAACAACCCAACCAACGCCTAGAGCAAATCGATAATTTTTTTCAAATAACATTTCTAATTTTCTACCTATTTTTTTCCTTTGTTTTGTTTTTTGTATTTTGGGGGTTTAATACCACCTATAACCATTTCGCCCCCAAAACACCAAAAATACCCATGCTTGTGGGCACTATTTTTTCCCACGAGCTATACGGCGCATATGCACTATGCGGCCGCATATGAGGTATGATGCGACACCTATGCAGGTGCATCGCACCAAAGTGCATATGTGCCCATATGCGATGCACACAATATGCGCTCATTTTAAGTGATAGACCATGTATACAATATGTGCCCATGGAAGCACGAAATACTTTCTCCCTTTGAAAAGAGGAATGAAGTTATGGCTAGGCCCACACGAGCTCACATGAAGGCTCCCATTAAATTTATATTATAATGTATTACAATACATTATATTATTATATTATACTATATAATATCATAGTAACATTATATTATAATAATAGCGTGATTTCATTTATAATAATCTGATTCAAATAGCTAACATATTTCTCTCTCAATCTTCTTTTATATTATACAAAAGAGAAGATACTAATATTAATAAATCATGAATTAATCTACGGTAAAATACAAATAACAATGTGCTCCTAAGTAAAAATCAAACTAAGGCATTTTTTCAGGGGAAAACGTTTATATAAGGTTGAGGCCCTAAACAATCAAATTAAGGCGCACCTAAAAAATCCAGTAGAAGATATTGTTGCGATGTTTCAAAACCAATGTTATCAAATTCACTTCACTTCGACCGAAGAGGCCGAAGCCTTCAGATTTTAAGCATAAACCGAAGCGAAGAGCAGCGTGGTGTTGCCACTTTAGTCAGATACGAGCTGCTTCGGGCTACTTCAGTCAGATTCGGGCTGCTTCAAGCAGCGTGAAAGCTTTGGGCTGCTTCAGTCAGAAAAGAAATACCTATATAGAAGTATTTTTATTTTTAAATTTTTTTTTTTTTTCATTTTTCCATTATTGTTATATATTTTATATATAAATATCTAATTTATTTATATTAAATTAAAAACATTTTGAAGTCTTTCCCCGAATCGGCCAAAGCACTGAATTGCTTCATTTTTCTCACCAAACCGAAGAAGACTCCGAAGCAAATCTGACAACATTGTGCAAAACCCTCAAATCGATCATCTAAATCTCGAGATGTATAGATGTGAAAAAAATGGATTTCAAGTTTGAAAAATAGTGCATTTTGTAATGCATTATCTAAGCCATCAATTTTCAATATTTTTAAGTGTTCCTCGATTTGTTCAATCTACACTATTTTTGAAGCTTTAAATTTTATGATTAAATACAAAAATAAATTTTCAGGCCATCACGAAGATTTTTACTTTTGAAAACTCATTTTTGGACACTATTTAGAGATGCGCCTTACTTTGATTGTTAGGGTCTCAGCCTTATATAAACCATACCTTTTTTAGGACTCTCAATTGATGTCAAATGATACTAAAATTCATATTTTACTTTTATCTTACTAATTTCATATTTTCATAGAAAGCTTCTCATTTACTTCATATTTTCTATGTAAAGAATTGTAACTTTACATAGACAGATTTTCATTTATTTATGCTTTAGAGCATTGATCAGACATGGCTATTTCTATTCTTTGTACTTCTAGAATTGAGTTTTGGTTGTGAGGTTTCTACTTCATCATTTTAAGAGAAACTTGCATTGCAAAATTTTAAGAGCATCATACAATATACTATTCCGATAACGTCATTATTAAAACTCTTTAACTGAACCTCCAAAGCCTTATTTATTCGACATGTACTATTTGAACAAACCAGATGGAAAATACGAGTTTGTTTAATAATACATATTAGAGGATTTCACTTGATCATGTTATTAAAAAAGGAAGTATAGGATAAGACTTTTTGCTTTGGTACAAATAAGTCATAATCACTATTGGCTGTTAGATCTCAAATCCTGTGGCTTAGAGTCTACATTGTCTAGGTTCAATGTCTAGAAGAAAATTTTTCAAGATTCATCACATGACCCAGGCCATTGAATTTCACATTAGATAGATAGGTTTTATTGTAAACTCCATGTATTTTAAGTAAATGTTTTCATACATACAATTCCTTTCAAAAAATGTAAGACAGATTTTCTATGAAATAAACTTCGGTAAAATTCTTGAATTAACAACGACATTGCTAAAACATTTCTCATTTACTATAACATCTATGAATGCATGAGATTCTTCGTTAGGTATGATAAAATAGAAATATCTAAATCAGAAAACTCAAAACATGTGTGGAGCACGTGTCCGTCGCTAGTATATATATAATCATAACCAGAACTCACAAGACCAAGAGAAACAAACTTCAATCCTTTCCCTTTTTGTAAAAATTTAATCCTGTTTTGTCTCAGAGACGGTCTTCTATATCAGTTAAAATTTTGGCGATCAAGTAAGTTGAAAACAAGCAAAATTTCTTCTTAATACATGTTACTTAGAAAACAATAATAAATACATACGTACTTGATGATCAACTACTCTAACACTTCCAGTGCAAAATCCACCACCAGTTGCTAGTGCATGACCCATAGCAGCAGTTATGATATCAATCTTTTCTATCTACACAAGGAATACACATCTGAATAACATTACAAACTACAGAAAATATAATAAAATTCACTAGGTGAACCACAGGACTAGAACATACAGGAATATTGTAATGTTCAGAAAGGCCTCTTCCAGATCTTCCAAGAACACCAACTGAATTGCTCTCATCCAATATCACCCGGAAAAGGTATTTCTCTTTCAATCTTATAATCTCATCCAGTGGAGCCATCTGACCAGAATTCTGAAACCATAGGAAGATCCATGATTTCTTGAAGCAAGAGAGAATGGCAGACATGAAGCACAAATAACAGAAAACTACAAACTAATTGAGCAAATATGCGCAACAAAAACCGATAGGATTGATAGAAATTCTTCAACCAAGTTAAATTAATAAGCATTTTATCACCTATTTTGTATATGTTTTTGTGCAGAGATTCTTTTTGTTTTTTTTAAACCCCTAGGTGCCCTTGCAGTGAAGAGTCAAGTGCCCCAACTCCTTGGAAATTCATATTACCACCTTCCTCCGATAAATTTCCAACAGACCACAAGCAGGCCAAGCTTTCAAAGAAAGTGACACCAATTTAAGAAAGGCTCAACCAATAAAATGAACCTTAATTCTTTCCTCATCAATTTCGACATTCCCATTCATAACTTTCATATTATATTACTGAAAGGATACAGAACACAGAAATAACAAGCAGAAGAAGTATGATGGCCAGCAACTCACAAACCCTACAGAATCATTTGAATAACTGATGGTCACCCTGAATCTACACATCTGAACTATCCAAATGTGACACTTCTACCAGCGTAAATGGTATATATTAAGAGTTTTTGCTCTCTTCAAACATAAAAATTAGTTTATTTATGTTCAGTCAAATTCTTTATTGAGTGTACTAAGCAAATTTTTCTAGCAAATAGTTTAACTATTTGTGATAAAGATCGACAAAATGAACTATCTTTGCCATTAAACCACCGTTTGAAAAGAAGTCTCGGTGATCACTGATCCAGGTCGGTCCGGATCCAGGGAATTATTAAAACAATAAAAGTAAAAAAACTTACAACAAAATGAGAAAAGTTGTAGGGGGGTTGATACATGGGAATATACCATAAAATTATTTTTTTAAAAATAAGGCAAAAAGAAAAACGGGGGTTTCCAAAGAAAGCGGGTGAAGGGATGGTAGAACCTATACTTGGCGGAACTGGACCCGGTCTAGACCATATCTTTTAAACACTGCATTGCACTACCATATTAGTTGCTTCTGTAGAAGAATTTACAACCTGACCCCTCTAAATGGGGTCTATGGCAATCTAGAGAGAATGTACTTCATATTTTTGGTCAATCAGGAAATGAACTAGAAATTCAGTTCATTATGATTCTCATAACAAATTCAATCACATTTCTGAGTATGAACAAGCTTTTTACTGATATATGGAATTGGCCGAAATGATTCCCAAAAATATTGAGCTCATAGCTATTGGACCATATACCAGCCAATAAGCTAACTTCTTTAATATTTCACTTACAACTGTGCATCGCTTTGACTGGTATTAACTCAATATCATGCAGCCATTTTAACTGCCCCTCCAAAATCTGCTGATATCTACATATATAGGCACATGCCATCCCCATTTATGATGCAACAGAAGTCTCTATCCAAGAAAGTTAACAAGCTTAACAAAGTTACGGATACAGAAGGACTATTCAATGAATCTAATAATTAATCTGAAATTGCCCTATACTTAGATTGAAATTAAGTTAATGCAATCACAAACATGTGTACCTGGTATATAGCTTCAACTACTATGTAGCGTCTTATCTTTTTGAGTCGCTTATTTTCTCGTGTAACTCTCTCCAAATGACCTTTCAGTGACTCCATATCGTTGTGCTTGAAAGGTACTACAGTGCTACGGGAAAGACTCAGACCATTTTGTATGCCCCAATGTACTCCTTCATCTCTGAAAAAAGAAAATCTAACTGAACAAAGGAGACTCTGTTCCAAGTCAAAGGTAAAAAAGATAAAGGAAAAAAAGAAACAAAGTTCTTAAAAAATGCAGTGTACAGAAAAAAAAAGCAAGCACACCATGGACAGGTATTCAATAAACCAAATAGATGCTGTTTTAAAACTAAATATATTGAGGAGTTATATCAAGTTTTGGACATAGAGGACGTAGAACGTGGAAACAATAAAAGAATATAAAAAGAAAAACAGATACAAGCATACAAGGAAAGCAACTTCAACAAGGCCAAAGATTTCAGACAGTGCTCTCTGTCATAAAATTGTATGCCGTTTCACCAGAATAATAACATGTACAGACACATCGAACTGGCAATAAACCACCATAATTGAAACTGTATTTGGGACTTTGAGAAACCAACATATCTTAAAAATAGGCATCCTCCGCTGCCACATACACTCAGGATCACCATTCACTTAAACTTATTGACTTTGTATTTCTATCTTATTAAACCAGCATTCTATAACTCAGAGAGTAGCTGTAGTCAACCAGCCTAGCCATCCCCTAGCGAGTCCGGTGAAAATACCTAGGAACTCACCCAAGCCATGTTTTAAAATGCGGGATGCGGTCCCAATGCGGTTGGGGTCTAGTGCGGCTCGATGCAGTCACGGACGCATCACGTCTAATGCGGTCAAAAAATTTAAAAACTTCTAGAAAATAACAAAAAAAACAATACATAGGAAAAACATAATTGTGATTTATGTGGTAGTAGGCATTTTTATTTTTTCAGTATCTATTACACATTAGCTGTATGAGATTTTGAGTCCCTGGATAGCCTGATAAAGAGTAATAGAGTTTGTTGTTCTAACTTTTAATCTTTAATAGTCCAAATGTCTAACATAATTAACATGTAAATAAAGCAATCCAGTCCATCTCATATAAAATATCTAAAATTCCAAACTTCAATGTTTGAACTCCAAAGCAAAAGTTTATGACAAAAAAGAAAGAGAGAATCAACTCTCAACTCTCAATCATATAAGTCATCAATATCATCTACTTGAATTTTTTCTATCAATTCCTTTTGTCTCATTTTCTTCATTTCTTTTGTTTTTTCTTGTCTAAGTATGCCCTAGTCTCTCTTCCAATCTAATCAGTTATTTGTGGGCATGCTTTGACATTTCTGTTAATACGGACTAAGTTATCATTTGGCTGGAAAATACCCCCTATATAAGTGTGGTCCCCCCGTATAAGTGTTCCCACATATTACAAATAGCACAATTTCAATCCTTATAGTTTTTTAGTTTTAGCATATTTCTATGCCGGGTCCTTGTTACTTGAAGATGATGAAGACATTGAACCCCCCACCCCACCCGGTCCCCCACCCAAAAAAATAAGAATAAGGAAATAAAAACTTATCAACCAATCCAAAGAAATTTCGACGAGGGCAATGTGAGCAATGAGGCCATATATGCCGATGATGCACCGCATATGTGGGGGCATCACGTTTTTCCACGTATGTGGCCCGAAGCGATGCGCTCCAAGCCGCATAACGCACAACACGTTTTGCAGTTGCATTTTAAAACAATGCGCCTAAGTCTGACCCTTTTTGGCATCCAATGCATTTTCACAACAAACTCAGCCAAGTCAATTGGCCTAACTCAAGCATAGATCTCAGAAAGTCCTAGTCCGGAGTTTAAAACACTATCAAACTAACAGGAATATAAATAGAAAGACTCACACAAGGATGAGGTCCCCTTTCTTGGCAAATGCTGGAATCACACTAAATATAGTTGAAAGCCCATAGGAATATAGAACTGAGTCAGGGGTTCCCAAGAATTTGGCAATTTTTTCCTCACAATCAAGGTGAACATCTGAAAGAGAGACAGTTGTTAAACAACAATATCAGAAAACTCTATACATTAGTGTGATCGCACATTTAATTAAAAACATATTGAGAGTTTTGCAGTTCAGGACAACTACATACTTATTTAGAAGTAGAATGCACAAGTTAAATTTTATTAAGCATTGTAGCGCTTCAGTCTTACCAATTGTCCCATAAAATCCACGAGGACCACAGGATCCCACACCATATTTCTCCAAAGCAGCCATGCAGGACCCCTGAAATGAAGCTGCAGCTCCAATAAGATTGCTGTTTCACAAGCTGACATAATTGTATTCTATAAGTCAACAAAAGTGCAGATAAAAGCCTTCTCACTATTATTTTTTCATGCCCAACAAGTCCAAGGTAATTTGCTGATGCGAAGTTCACAACTTCTTTGCCACCAACTATGGTATGTGGTCCTGCAGCACTGCATAAGAAAAAGTAAGCAGGCAAGAAAAACACCCAACTTCTTTGATTAAAGTACATACTTATCTATTCAACCAACACATAGAGGAGATCTAAATCAACAAACCATCACACACAATGGGTAGACAAAATAGTAAGATTGATGACATACATAGCAGTCCTAGTGGGAATGCTCTGCATTTCGAACATTAGATTCCTCCCAAGGCATGTATCTATTTGGAGGATGCAAATTCAGATGAGCCACCATGAAGAATAAGAAGAGCAAGCACTAATTGGGGCTATTTTTTTTAGTGATCTCAGTTTATTTTTATTTTATCAATAGTTACTTTCATCGTTCTTGGAGGCAAGAGAGGGTTTGGGAGCGAGATTGGTTCGGGGAATGCCAAACCGCTATAAGGTAGAAGTTCCCTGGGGTTAGGATCGACATCTGTACATTTAACAATTAAGGAGCTAGATCCTATAGGATGCTTGGGACGGAGATCCCATGTAACTGGGATTATGGCTTTGACTTGGAGAGATCTAAGCTCCACTTTATCATGCACCTTAGCTTATAACTAATCCCATAGTTATGGTACTCCAATTTACTACAATAACATAGTTCAATAATATCATAAATTCATCATCATCATCATCCAAGCCTTATCTTAATGATTTGGGGTCAGTTTAATAATATCATAAGTGACTTAAAATAATATTAAATTATTAGGTTTTAATATCATAATTCTAGTATACCACGATTTGATATGCACCACAGTTTAACATATTCTAAAGAAATAAATTTGTAATACCAAGGAGAGGAGCAGTAGTTCAATTAACAGTCAGCTCCTCTCATTGGAGGGATCCTACAAGCATGTAGATCGAGATCCTATTTTATGAGGGAGCGAGAACCCTCTAGGATCCCTTGGAGGAACCGCAGGATCAAGTTCCTAAGGTAGGACCATGATCTTAACCCCAAGGTTCCCACAACCATGGTTTCTTCTATTTTGGAATAAGTGAAGGGCAAATAGGGTATTTTTACTTTAAGTCGGATTTATTAGCCATTTTATCTAAGTGAGGGACATTATTGACTTTTAATTTTTAGTTATGTTCTAAAAAGGAGGTGCACATAAAGGAAGGGGAATTTTTGACATGGTAATATGAAAGATGGGAGCTTTAGCATGAGCCCTAGTTAGGGTTTACAGGAGAAAACCAGCGTTTCCTTCAATTTGTGCTTGTTTTGATTGGACCCACATAATTTTCTGTTTTCCTCATCAAAGATCTACATCATGGTAAAATCCACAGTTATCCCCGATGTGCTCATATAATGGTCAGATTACTAAGTTTCCATGACTTGCTGAAAAACTGGACCAAAGGAAAGTTATTTGATATCAATAACATGTACTTTGTACATGTAATCCACAGTTATCCCCGATGTGTTCATACTTCCTTCATGTTGTAATCCGCTAGTCCTCTTTATCTGCTGCTGCTGCTGTTCCGCTTGTCTGTAACTGGTATCAGAGCTTGTAAATGGTTTGATGTTAGACTGTATGCTCAGAGCTTGTAGTCGAAATTTTTATATATGAAGTGAAGTTTGCCTTATCTTCAAGTAAGATTTTAATTTCTATTTCTTCTAGTTATCTTTATGATGTTTATGTTCAGTTTTAATTAGATTTAAATTATTTCTTCAGCAAGGCATCTTTATTTCTTTCTGTTTTTCTTAAACCCATACGCTTGTATGTGGTTTCTCGAACTGTGAGGCCGTTTAGCCAGGAGTGAGTTTAAGCTGTTTTGTACAAAGGAAACTGTTTTATCACAGGAGGTCTTAGGTGCCAAGAAAAACAACATGGGAGAAATGAACTGCTTAGCAAAAGAAAATAAATTATATCAAAATAATTTTGAGCATCTATATCATTTGGATAAAAATGAAGAGGAAGATATTTCAAATCTTAGTAGGAGTGTGAATCGACTTTTTGATTTCTGTAACCACTGGTTCAAAAATATTTCAAAAAATTTTAAAAACATTTCAGAACAGATTTCTAAAGTAGAAAGTAAAGTAGATAGCTTAGGAAAAATAAATAGTATAGACTTAAACCCTGAATCAAAAAATTTGCTAAAACGTTTTGAACAATCTTTAAATGAAAACACTGTTTTCAATGAGACTTATGAACCATGTAAGTCACTCTACTTCGGGACAGAAATCTTGACCCGAGAAGAAGAGTATAATGATTTCAAAGCCATCAAAGAAATCCTTGAATACTGGAAATCCCGGTATATCAAAAAAACTGATTTTGAAGAAAGATCAAAGCTTCAAAGAAGTATGCAAGAATTGTTTCCTGAAAACGAAAAACTCATGATAAAAAACTATTACCATCTCAACTTAAACATAGATGAAGAAGAGTCTTTTTCGGTTTTCAAAGTCAAAATCGAGTCTGATATAGAATCAAATTCTGAAGAAAAAGCTGAAAAATCAGCTCAAGAATTGAAAGGAAAAAGAAAAGTTGAACTGCCAGATCACTTAGATTGCTACCCCGAATCTAAAAGGTATTCGACCCAAGAACTTGAGAAGTTTTCAAAAAGAAAATTTTGAAAATTTTCAAAAATATAAAGAAGCTTCTAACAAAGAAGAATTTTGCCAGACCACCGAGGAAAAACCTCAGACGTCTGCAACATCTGAAAAACCAATTCCCACTGTAAACAACAGACGGGAAGATTTAAACAAAATATACGTTTCTGTTACTGGAACGTATTTGGATCTTAAAAATGTTTACTTCTCTGAATACAACCAAGTTATCAGTAAATGGGCACAATCCATGACTATTGTTATAACAAACAATCCTATATGGGCCACTAACAGATTTTTCAACTATCTTGGGGGAACATTGGAAGGTGATATTTTACAATATCTTCGAAAGTGGGAGGTTATATAAAAGGATCCGTTCACAAAAAAGAACTCTTTGAGAAAAAAAAAGAAGACTTTTTGAAAGAAATAACAAAACTTCTAAGAGAGGACTTATGTCGCACTGCTTTAGATCTGAATCTAAAAGAAGATTCTGATTATTCTCTCACAAAGCTAAAACTTTGCAAAATCCATAGTTTTGAGCCCTTTGCAAAAGAATTTAAAAAATGGCTCCAAATGTTAGATGAAAGCAAATCTGAATTTTGGAAAAATCAGTTTTTCAACAAACTACTTTTTCCTTGGGATGAGATTTGTACCGAAAAATACGACAAGTATGTTTCTGATACTACATCAGTAGATACTCTCGAAAATAGAATCAGATTTGTTCTCTATATCATAAATTTTCATTGCATCGAAGTAAAAGCAGCCAAGCAAGTCAAAAAATGACTTAGATGAAACGACTGCACCAAACTTCTAAAAAACAATTTAGAATTTGGGTGTAATGCAAAAGGAAAGAAAAAGAAAATTTTCAAAACAAAAAGATTTTGTTGGAAAAACTCGAAAAAGGGTAAAAAGTTTAACAAGACGAAAAGGTATGTTGTTAGAAAAAATAACAGCAAACTTAAGAGTTCATGTCGTTGCTACATCTGCAACGAAGGACACATAGCACCAAACTGCCCCCAAAAAGGGAAAAATGCCACAAAGATGATCAAAATGCTTGATGAAAACAATTTTGAAATATGCTTTGGAGAAGAAATCTCTGAAGATGAAATTGAATTTGAAGTTGTCTCTGAATCTAACAACGAGTCGAAAGAAGAGGATGAATATGTTTTCATGATGCATCTAAAAGAAAACCCGGAGAACAACTCTGAGATTTCTAAACAAGTTGTAAAACTCGGTGATGTAATTCAAGAAGAATTCTTCATCGATGAAGAAAAGGTTGAAAAATTGAAAAATCTCAAAAAGGAAGAAATCAACAGGATGTCGAAGCTCCAATTCTGGAACATCAGACATTTTGAGCGCTTCAGTGGAAACACCACTGCAAGAGCAATTGAAAATGGTTATGTAGAAATCCCTATATTTGACAAAGGCAAGATTTCCAAAATGATCAAAAAGTTTCCAAGGTTGAGATATATGCACATAGGAATCATTTTGATTGAAATCACTGCACTTTTCAGACAGGGTATTGACACACCAATCCTTGTCGTTATTTTAGACAAAAGATTCAATAACCCTATTAAAGCAATAATAGCAGGCATTCAATCTAATCTTGTCACGGGAAAAATTTGGTTTAAAAGAAAACATAAATTATTTTATTTCTATCCATGATAAAAACATCCACGATAGTGTGAGGATTCTGATTCAGACCAAAAACATTGGTATGAAGAACAACAGTTTCAACCTTGCAATTGAGTGGAAAGCCATCCACGAATTTACAAACGAAACGAGAACCTCAACAAAAAATATTGATAACAGGTTCGTCGAAATTTTAGAACCACGAAATTTCAATAATGAGATCCATCCCCGGTGAATCAACCGGAAGGATTTGAAAATTCCCAGAAATTGGTTGGTTGACAGTTTTTCTGAAAATTATAGCCAAGACCTGCAACCTATAACTTTTCAAGCATCTGGGAAAAACTTGTACTTTTCTAACCAAAGAACTTTAACCAAAAGTTTTAGTCAATCAGTACCCAGCAGTCCAGCAGCACGATTTTCTGAAATAACAGACTTATCTTAAACACAAGGTTTATCTTCAAACAGAAAACCGAAACCTCTCAAAAACATTACAATACCGTTTTTTCCTGGACTGTCTAGCAATTTTGAAACTAGAAACACCAGTAATTCAAAAGAACAAGAAAAGAAGAGCTTCAAAATACTGTTTTGTTTTCGAAAATCGAATTTCAAGATGGGGAAGAAATAATCTTCTCTCATAACCAAAACAGGAAAAAATATTTGTTTGTTTTGGGTGAATTTAATTTTCAAGGTTATAAACCATATCACCTTGATATTCTAGTTGACACAGGTGCTACCACATGCGCCTGCTGCCCAACAGCGTTACCATTAGAAAAATGGGAATGAATGAAAAGCCCATTACATGCAACCGGCATCAATGGGAACAATACTCT